ACTTGAACTACGCAATGCTCGAGCAGGTGAGTGGTTTAATCCTCCATCCCACATCTCTGCCTGCATTGTGCACGGCCCTGGCCATTGTACATGCCTCTGACCACTGGGAGCTGTGGGACAACGGCACCATGGTCCATGCCATGATTGATGTCATTGATTTCTTACAAAATGATGTTGTTTTCTTGCCACAACAAACCGTCCGCAATCTCTTTTATGTCAAAGATCATTCCTCTGGCCCCGTGCTGCAGCAAGACAATGCACCAACACTCTGCGACCTTCTCCTTTGCTCAACCACAAACACTGTTACACTCGGCTGTAGCCGCCATTGTCTCTGTCACAATCACTACAATGACATGGTTTCTGCATCCATGTGTGCAGAGGACTGTCCCACCGTTCCTGACTGCAGGCACCCTCCGCATCCGGACACTATATGTCCATTTTGCGGCCATGGGCGCTATACTGAATGCATGCTCTTTTGTGGCGACCGTTCTTCTTTCATTTTGGCCTGCAATCGACATGCCATTTGTCGGGGGTGTATGGCGGGCATGCTCAATGCCACCCGTCGTGGCAATTGTTGCACTGAGAATGCTCAGCTAGGTCTTCCATGTGTTCATCCACGTCATCCTTACAATGTATGTCCTCTCTGTCGTGAAGGACGGACTCATTCTTGAACCTTTTCTTATCCTCTTTTGCCTTCATCTTCACTCCACACTCCATACTTTCCCTTGCTTTCCCTTTATCGTTCTTTGTTTGTGCTGCTCTCCATCTCTCCTCCCTGTGTTTATCCCCTCCCCCCTACTCTGCCTCTTTCTCACAGCGTACAAGTGGGCTGTTATGGCACACGGGGATGGGGGCAGCTCGCGCTCAACTTCATCAACGTGGCAAGCCTTGTACGTGAGAGGCACGGTGAATGGGGAGTCAAAAGAATGAGTAAAATGAATGGTTTCACTGTGCCCTTCATGTTTGTCTGGATTTTTATTTTTATTTTTATTTTTTATTTTTGTCGTTTGTTTCGCAAATTGCGCTCTTTTAGTTCATAGTATGTGACGATATATATAAAGAAAGAAAAACACTTTAAGATTCCAGGAAGATAGAATACCCCTAGCCGGAGCAGCAATGAATTTAGACTTGAGAGAAATGAGACAGAGCTGTGTGCAACCCAAACACGTTGAACCCAAACCCATTACCAATCAACTTCTCGTCAAGGTACAACGGAAAGGTCCCTATATACCATTGGATCACATCAGGAATCAGTATATTGAAGCAGCAAATTGAGTAAGTAGGTACAAGACTGCAGAGACACCGTTGGATAACATCAGGAATCAGTATATTGAAGCAGCAAATTGAGTAAGTAGGTACACGACGGCAGAAAGCAAGTCCGAACAGTTCAGCTTACTTCACAAATGGTGATCTTGCATTCCCATTCAAGAGACGCCTGATAGTCCATCGGGACTAGTCATCAACAAGCCGTGCATTTGAGTATCACCAGTTGGGGAAGAATATTAGTACCCCCTTCACTTCCCACACTTGGGTATGTATCCTAGTCCTTCCGAGACCTGCCCAGCCTAGGCTCACCTAATAAGTATCCTAACAGCAACTACACAAAGATCCCCTCTCAATGCAAGTTGATGCTTGGAGCATGGCGAGCTAGTACAGATTGCAAAAGTGAAGAACTTTCAGCTTGAAAATGCGGCAGAACAGGCAGAGATCCACAAGCATTGTATCCATGCAATGACATATCCATGCGCATGCATATGTCACACGGGTACTTACCTGAGTCAGCTGACTCACTCTTGAGGTAGGTACTGTCTCACCCCCCTCACGCCATACCTGCATTGTCTGACTTTCCCCTTATGAAACAGTTTTCACCTTTGGCAGTAGCCGATGCAGATCCCAGGGGTCGATCCCTTGACCTCAGCTTACCTGTGTACAGTATCTGTACAGTTCCCTGGAGTTGAACCCGTGACCTGCACGAT